AGACAAACCCCATTTACTTGGAATGTTTTTAAGTTGGAACGTGACCTTACAATACACCCTGCAACGCTGATTACGAACGCTATCAGACGTCGCTATTAAACTTGTTCTGTTTATTTTTCAAACATAACGATGAAGAGTGACTTGGTTTGAGCCCATGTTTACACACACACACACACCGAAAGTATCACAAGTCAACTAAAATATAATTTTCTTAACAACATATCGGGCTGTAGAAGTGGGAATGTTTGCAACATAAAGTGATAGACCACTCAAGGAGCGCAGTGCGCGCGATCATTAACCACGTGCTGTGGTTTGTTACCAAAGTTTCAGTTCCAATGGTAAGTAAGAAGGCCCGTCGCTTTTTCATGTAATATGTATGTATCATCCAGGGAAACTGCGTTACGTACCAATTAAAAAAAAAAAAATCTATGAATACTTTTTAATGTAACACCCGTTAGATCGTTCTTGACACCACGCGCTTTCCTTCCCGCTCCAAAGTAAAGTTCCAAGTAATCTTGAATGAACCAATTAGTGACCTGTATAGAAAGTTTAAACTTTCAATACTTACTAGGAAATAGCATAATTTCGGTAATTTGTATGCTAATGGAAGTTCTAGAAAGAGGTTCAATGACACAAAAAGCGATTGATTTTGCAACAAACCGGCAATTTGACCCCTCCCCTCTTCCCGTACTCTTCCTGGCGACCAGAAGATACACAGATTTGTTCACAAAAGTCCCGTGGTGATTAATGTATCCCTTTAAGTCTGTGAATTGTTCACTTTCGAAGCTATAAACAACTTGTTGTTTGGTTACTGAATACCCATTTATTGGACAGTTTATCCAAACAGCGAGTGAAGAATTAAATTAAGTAAATTGAAAGAGAAGTGTCAACGTTTCGATGCAACAAGGTGAAACTTTATTAGCCGTTATGAAGATTCACAAATGTGCATCAAATGGAAACTTTTTTTTCCTTTTCCATTCAACTTTAAGTTACCCTCGGTGATAGCCAACAATTAAAGAAGAGCTCCTCCTGCGTTAGTAGATAAAAAATATTGACAAATTTGATGTAAGATCTTCCAAAGGAAACTTTTATAATTGATTTGCTAATGAAAGATGTTATAGCAGTGTTTTCCAAACTTTAAATAGCGGCGCCCCCTAAATCAGCAAAGTTTCCGTTGATTCCCCCCCCCTCATATTAAAATAATTTTCACAAGTGCTAACATCAAAATCAACATTTTTTTTTACCTTTTGTTAATAATTGTTTTAATGAAAAAATGTTCGTAAGGAGAGAGTAAATGCGAGAGCAAAAAAATAAAAAATAAATTAAATAAAAAAGCTTTGAGAGCAAAGTGACAGTTTTGGTACGTTATTGTCGTCTCCATCTCTCCTGTTTCTTCCGTCGTTATTTTTTAGCTTTCCCGCCGAAAGGCCGCACTCCGCAGGGGGCCCGCCCCACAATTTGTAAAACAGTGTTAGAGCGGTTTGAATTTTGCGAAAAGCTACTCGAGGGCCATCTGCTAGCCGTCCCTAATTTAGCAGTGAAAGACTAGAGGGAAGGCATCTAGTCATCATCACCCACCGCCAACTTTGGGGCTACTCTTTTAACAACGAATAGCAGGATTGACCATCACTTATAACGTCCCCACGGCTGAAAGGGCGAGCATGTTTGGTGTGACGGGGATTCGAACCCGCGACCCTCATATTACGAGTCAAGCGCCCTAACCACCTGGCCACGCCGGGCCGTGTTAAAGCAAACAAACTAAATCAAAGAAGCAAGTTTATATATTGCTGATAAACAATTAATTTATTGTGAAGAAATTATTTTTCAGGGAGTAACTCATCACTTAATGTATGTACTTAATGAGTGAATGTGCTCGTACTTCTAAATAATTTTAAATGTTAGTTTACACACAGTGAACGTAGGAAGTTATGTTATTAAAATTCTTTATTTGCTGAGGTTTAAACGTCGAAAATTAGAGTAACATTGATAACCAGTACGCCTAACATTTTCAATGAAAATCACGTATAGTGCAGATGGTTATTCTTTCAAATTTCCCTTAACTTGCCCATTGCTGACCCCAACTCAGATATGTGTAAAAATAGTCTTCAGATCTGTCTTTTATCCCCCGTAAGAGACCCTTTGTTCAACACGAGGACTCATCAGCTGAACTAAAGGATGGGAGACGAAACTTTATCTGAAACGCTATTTATATATATTCATTTTAAGAATTTTAAAGCTTAAGCTTAAACTCCCAAAACTGCCAAAGCACTGGAAACAAAAAGGCAGATAATTGTGATACACTGGAAACTAAAAGGCAGATAATTGCGATACACTGGAAACTGAAAGGCAGATAATTGTGATACACTGGAAACTAAAAGACAGATACTTGTGATACACTGGAAACTAAAAGGCAGATAATTGTGATACACTGGAAACTAAAAGGCAGATAATTGCGATACACTGGAAACTGAAAGGCAGATAATTGTGATACACTGGAAACTAAAAGGCAGATAATTGCGATACACTGGAAACTGAAAGGCAGATAATTGTGATACACTGGAAACTAAAAGGCAGATAATTGCGATAAAATTCACGAAAACTCGATTATTTTGACTAATTTGCTTATTTCAGATTTCAAACCAGAGGTGTATAACATTTATTAAATTTTTGCGCATAGCTACTCGAGGACTTTCTATGCTAGACGTCCCTAATTTAGAAGTGATAGACTAGGAGAATGGTGGCTAGTCGAGATCACCCACTGCCAACTCTTACCAACGAATAGTTATATTGATCGTCACATTATAACGGCCCTCATGGCTGATGGAATTTGAACCTGCGACCTGCAGAGTGCGAGTCGAACGACCTAGCCACCAGATCAGGTGTTTAAACAAAAAACATTTCAGATCATTAGCTGACAAGCTCTACTATTGAACGCAATGCCTTCTGGGTAGTGGCTAGTGGGAGACAAATATAGATATGAAATGCTAATTTTAAACATCTAAGATTCGAAATATGAAATGTACAAATAAATAGAAATGCTGAAAATAATATGTACAGTATATGATATTTTGGTTTACTTGTGTTTCAGAGACAGAAGTCTTTAATCTCTGTTACAATGTTTACTAGAACTCGATTAGACTCAAATATGTACACTTAACTTGCATGCAAAGAATATTACAAAAGCGCGACACGACTATAGCAAGAATTGGAACATATTCAGAAACACATATCAATATCAATAAAAGAACACAATATCGTGTACAGCAATTTGTGGAAGAAACACAGTAAACGGAACAAACTGTCAGAAGTCTGACGTCAGAGAAACTAGTTTTGACACATTCGTGCGTCCTCTTCAGTTTCACGTTTTTCTTTTTTTATATATTAATAAATCTGTCAACATGGTTCCCGGACCCCCTGTTTATAAACAATACTTTATAATCCTATATCACAATACACATAAACATCTCACCTAGAATAAGAAAAAACTTTAATCAAAACTGTTCCTAGAAGGTATGAGAAAGAATCAACTTTGGTATGATCCAACTGCACGAAATCCAGCGAAGAATTACAATGTTGGTCAAAACAAAACTATATTTCTTGATCCTTTGATAAAGTTCGTCGATTTGGTCTGATGAAAATGCTACATAATATTGACTTGGAATAATGAAGTAGCATGAAAAAGTTGAAAATAGTTTAGAGGGGGAGGGCGTATTTTAAGGACATATATTTGAACAAAAGAGTGAAGTTAAAAAGGTACTTATTGGGAAAGTATTTCAGAATCGTCCTGCTTTATCTGACAAACGTTTACACAAACTAATCCATTTAAAACTATATTAAGATCTATTATCACTCATATAAGAAACGACGGAACGTTTATTCTGGAAAAATTTGAACTTAAAATATTTGGTTGACATGGAGTGAGACGTTTCGCTTCGCTTCCCGCGTTTCAACAGAACTGCTGCCTACATCATTCACGAAAAGCGCCGCGTTATTATTAATCAATGATAAAAAAAAGGACCCTGTCGTTTTTGTTTTTATTCTCAAAAATTTTACAAGGTTGTTTCGTAACTTTTGATCACTTAATAAATACAAAGTGATGTAATAAATACATACATAAATACAAAGTGATGTAATAAATACATACATAAATACAATAAAGAGAATATTACACCTAGAGTTTGTATTCGGTATTATCTGTTTAATAAAATAATGTTCTATGTTTTATATTTGTGTGTATATATATATTGATACTGAAACCGAAACTAATATTCAACCTGGCATCACTAACGACTACTGGCATCAATAATGACTACAACAAATTATATATACACTTTTCATACATTCTTGTTTATAAAGATTAGAAAACATTGTTGCACCGATTTGGTACCCTTGCTATATTCTACAAATTGTTTATTTTAATGACAGAGTATTACCCATACAAAGGGATTAACAAAATGTGTCTTGAAATTATTCCCAAGATATTTTAGATTTAATATTTCAAATTAAAATTACCCTGACAAAAAAAAGAAGATTTCGTCTGGTAAGTTACCGGCTCTACTTCAAATGAGTTTAGGTTACAAATCCCTCTCGTATCTTTATCTTCTGAAATGCCACTGGTATCTTTGTCTCCTGAAGTCCCACTGGCATATTTGTCCCCTGAAATCCCACTGGTATCTTTGTCTCCTGAAATCCCACTAATTTCTTTATATCCTGAAATCTCCCAAGTAACTTTGTCGGATATTTCTATAAAGAGAACTTTTAATTACAAAACAGTTGTTTCAAACTAGTTGTAAAAGTTGTTACCATGACGTAAAGCGTATTTACTGAAACAAATAAGAACGCTTCTGTTAGTAAAAAGTGCTCAAAGTATTAGGCTTGAGGATTGTTATCTCTAAATGCTACTGACGTAAACGTGCATTTCTTCAGGATTGGTCGCGAACAACACGTGATATATTCGTTTCTAAACGATATATGTAGCCAAAACGCCCCCGCAACAACCTTATAATATGAATGGAAGAACGCCGCTGTATGGACCATAGGAGTTGGTACGACGACGAGTCAAAGAGAAACGATAGGAAGAGGTAAACGAAGACCCTGAATAACTTTCTTTGCCTCCAAACTCTGCCGTGCTGCCATAAAAACGCCCACTGAAGGTAACCATTGAAAATGTGTTTAAAACTATCGAACCACATTTGTAAATTAATACTTGTACAGATTGTTTATTGGTACAATATTCAGATTTTAAAACTCTTTTTGCTAGAAAGATTTTTATTAGCAACTATATTGTATTGACATATAACGTATGAACGAGTTATCGATGAGCTGGATTTTCACCGACACCAATTTCTTCATTTTTGGTATAGTCAAAATAGACGGAGCTTTACTTGTATATACATGCTAATTGAAAATTTATGTTCTTATTCGCAAACAAAGTGAAAATTTGTTTGTTTCTTTTTAAGCACAAAGCCACCCAATGGATTATCTTTACTGTGTCCACCACGAGTATCGAAACCCAATTTGTAGCGTTATATGCCTTCAGACTTACCGAACAAAGTGTTCTTAAAACACTTCCCCCTGGTGGTTCAGCGGTAAGTCTGAGGGCTTATAACGCTTATACTCGAGTTTTGATAATCGCATTGGGCAGAACACAGATACCTCATTGTGTAGCTTTGAGTTTGCTTGTTTGTTTGAAGTTAAGCACAAAGCTACATAATGGCTATCTGTGTTCTACCCACCACGGGTATCGAAATCCGGTTTATAGCGTTGTAAGCTCGCAGAGTAGCTTTGAGTTTAACAACAAACCAAGTTTAACAGTTAACCTATTATACCACAAATACATACGTTTAAATAATTTAACTCTTAAAATTTTTAGTTATTTACAATAAAAACAAACTAGTTCAGAAAGAATATTCAAGTTAAAAAAAGGGTTTAATATGCTGGATAAGCATCACACCTTCTACATAGGAAAATGTAATTTTACACGCCGAAAGAAGTAGATGGAACGCCACGCTAATTTTCATGTTCTCGAATATTCGGCCATTTTTGTGTGCAATTATAACAGAAAGAAACAAAATGTAAACGCGAGATTATATATTGTTGCTTTGTAAAGGATCAGATATGATGTCGAATGATGTACGCGTTAATATATACTGTAGTATCTTCAAGTTGTATTGCATGTTCGTATGAGAGATGTGAAATGTTTCGTGCTCTTAGTTTGATCGTAAAGCGCATGTTTCCAGAAAAACACAACTTTCAACATAAGGCAGTCCCGTCCTTGTGCTTCTCACTGTACAATTTGAAACAAATAATACAAAGATAAAAATAAAAAACAGGCTAATTCGGTTATCGAGCACGCGAACCTTTAAACTATATTCAATTGTAGAACCAAGATACACCCATGGGCAAATATTTCGCCAAGAACAAGTACGCACTTGAAGACTTTCTATTATGAAACTTCTACGCGCTTCAACAGATGAGATAATCTACAACCTGCTGGTTATAATTAACGTTTTTCTTTGTTACATTATTTTGTCTTTTCTGTAATTCTTTTGGTTGTATGTTAATCTGTAATCTATTATAATTTTTTTCACTTTTTCCTTTCTCTTTTTACGACCTGTATATATAAAATAAAGAATTTTCAAAGAATATTGCAACTCGAAGTTCAAAATGACGAACATTTAGAAGGTTCGTACATAAGCTTTTGTTTTACGACAAATGACATTAACTCGAAACATCATCTTCCAAAAATAAATGGTGATTTGCAATCTATCCATTTATTCTTCTGTTTCTGTAGCCCATGTAGTTAATTATATTTTCTTGTATTCAGACATTCGAGATTTGTTTTTCTGGGTTATATGTTAAATAACACGTGAAAAACTGAGTGTTATAACTTTTTCTCTTAAAAACTGCACATAGGGCGCGATTAGTTAGTTTACTTGTTTAAATGATTTGTTTGTTTGTAACTAAGCACAAAGCTACACAATGTACTATCTGCGCTCTGCCCACCACGGGTATCGAAACCCGGATTCTAGCCTTGTAAGTCCGCAGACATATCGCTGTGCCACTGGGGGGGGGGGGCAGTTTAAATGATGAAGCAACCAAGAAACATAGCACAGATCCTTATTTATCAAATAATAC